CCCACACAAACACAAACTCACACAAACCCAAACCCACACAAACACAAACTCACACAAACACAAACTCACACAAACTCACACACACACAAATTCACACAAACTCACAGAAACACAAACCCACACACACACAAACTCACACAAACTCACGCAAACACAAGCTCACACAAACACAAACCCACACACTAACACACACAAACTCACCCAAACACAAACTCACACACACACACAAACTCACACACACAAACTCACACACTCACAAACCCACACAAACACAAACTCACACACACACAAACCCACACAAACACAAATTCACACAAACACAAACCCACACAAACCCAAACTCACAGAAGCCCGAACCCACACAAACCCAAACCCACACAAACACAAACACAAAATCACACAAACACACACAAACACAAACTCACACAAACTCACACAAACACAAACTCACACAAACTCACACACACACAAACTCACACACACACAAACTCATACAAACACAAACTCACACAAACTCAAACTCACACAAACACAAACTCACACACAAACTCACACACACACAAACTCAAACAAACACAAACTCACACAAACACAAACTCACACAAACCCACACAAACACAAACTCTCACACACACACAAACTCTCACACACACAAACTCACACACACACACAAACTCTCACACACACAAACTCACACACACAAACTCACAAACACACAAACTCACGCACAAACACACACAAACACAAACTCACACAAACACAAACTCACACAAACACAAACTCACACAAACCCAAACCCACACAAACACAAACCCACACAAACACGAATTCATACAAACACAAACTGACACACACACAAACCCACACAAACACAAACTCACACACACACACAAACTCACACAAACCCACACAAACACAAACTCACACAAACCCAAACCCACACAAACACAAACCCACACAAACACAAACCCACACAAACACAAACCCACACAAACTCACACAAACCCAAACCCACACAAACACAAACTCACACAAACACAAACCCACACAAACACAAACTCACACAAACACAAACTCACACAAACACAAACCCACACAAACACAAACTCACACAAACACAAACTCACACACACAAACTCACACAAACACAAACCCACACAAACACAAACCAACACAAACACAAACCCACACAAACACAAACCCACACAAACCCAAACTCACACAAACACAAACCCACACAAACACAAACCCACACAAACACAAACTCACACAAACCCAAAACCCACACAAACACAAACTCACACAAACACAAACTCACACACACACACACAAACTCACACACAAACACAAACTCACACAAACTCACACACACACACACAATCACACACACACACAAACTCACACAAACACAAACTCACACACACAAACCCACACAAACACAAACTCACACAAAGACAAACCCACACAAACCCAAACTCACAGAAGCCCGAACTCACACAAACACAAACTCACACAAACACAAACTCACACACACACACACAAACTCACACACACAAACACAAACTCACACAAACTCACACACACACAAACTCACACAAACACAAACTCACACGCACAGAAACCCACACAAACAGAAACTCACACAAAGACAAACCCACACAAACCCGAACTCACAGAAGCCCGAACCCACACAAACCCAAACCCACACAAACACAAACTCACACAAACCCAAACCCACACAAACACAAACTCACACAAACTCACACACACACAAATTCACACACTCACACAAACTCACAGAAACACAAACCCACACACACACAAACTCACACAAACTCACGCAAACACAAGCTCACACAAACACAAACCCACACACACTAACACACACAAACTCACCCAAACACAAACTCACACACACACACACAAACTCACACACACAAACTCACACACTCACAAACCCACACAAACACAAAGTCACACACACACAAACCCACACAAACACAAACTCACACACACACAAACTCACACACACACAAACTCACACAAACTCAAACTCACACAAACACAAACTCAGACAAACACAAACCCACACAAACACAAACTCACACACAAACTCACACACACACAAACTCAAACAAACACAAACTCACACAAACACAAACTCACACAAACACAAACCCACACAAACACAAACTCTCACACACACAAACTCACACACACACAAACTCACAAACACACAAACTCACGCACAAACACACACAAACACAAACTCACACAAACACAAACTCACACAAACACAAACTCACACAAACCCAAACCCACACAAACACAAACCCACACAAACACGAACTCATACAAACACAAACTCACACACACACAAACCCACACAAACACAAACTCACACAAACCCAACCCCACACAAACACAAACCCACACAAACACAAACTCACACAAACCCAAACCCACACAAACACAAACCCACACAAACACAAACCCACACAAACACAAACCCACACAAACACAAACTCACACAAACCCAAACCCACACAAACACAAACTCACACAAACACAAACCCACACAAACCCAAACTCACACAAACACAAAACCACACAAACACAAACCCACACAAACACAAACTCACACACACACACAAACTCACACACACACAAACACAAACCCACACAAACACAAACCCACACAAACACAAACCAACACAAACACAAACCCACACAAACACAAACCCACACAAACCCAAACTCACACAAACACAAACCCACACAAACACAAACCCACACAAACACAAACTCACACAAACCCAAACCCACACAAACACAAACTCACTCAAACACAAACAAACACAAACTCACACACACACACAAACTCACACACACACAAACACAAACTCACACAAACTCACACACACACACAAACTCACACAAACACAAACTCACACACACACAAACCCACACAAACACAAACTCACACAAAGACAAACCCACACAAACCCAAACTCACAGAAGCCCGAACTCACACAAACACAAACTCACACAAACACAAACTCACACACACACACAAACTCACACACACACAAACACAAACTCACACACACACAAACTCACACAAACACAAACTCACACACACACAAACCCACACAAACACAAACTCACACAAAGACAAACCCACACAAACCCAAACTCACAGAAGCCCGAACCCACACAAACCCAAACCCACACAAACACAAACTCACACAAACCCAAACCCACACAAACACAAACTCACACAAACACAAACTCACACACACAAATTCACACAAACTCACAGAAACACAAACCCACACACACACAAACTCACACAAACTCACGCAAACACAAGCTCACACAAACACAAACCCACACACACTAACACACACAAACTCACCCAAACACAAACTCACACACACACAAACTCACACACACAAACTCACACACTCACAAACCCACACAAACACAAACTCACACACACACAAACCCACACAAACCCACACAAACACAAATTCACACAAACCCACACAAACCCAAACTCACAGAAGCCCGAACCCACACAAACCCAAACCCACACAAACACAAACTCACACAAACACAAAATCACACAAACACACACAAACACAAACTCACACAAACTCACACAAACTCACACAAACTCACACACACACAAACTCACACAAACACAAACTCACACAAACACAAACTCACACAAACTCAAACTCACACAAACACAAACTCAGACAAACACAAACCCACACAAACACAAACTCACACACACACAAACTCACACACACACAAACTCACACAAACACAAACTAACACAAACTCACACACACAAACTCACACAAACACAAACTAAAACAAACTCACACACAAACTCACACACTCACAAACCCACACAAACACAAACTCACACACACACAAACCCACACAAGCACAAATTCACACAAACACAAACCCACACAAACCCAAACTCACAGAAGCCCGAACTCACACAAACCCAAACCCACACAAACACAAACTCACACAAACACAAAATCACACAAACACACACAAACACAAACTCACACAAACTCACACAAACACAAACTCACACAAACTCACACACACACAAACTCACACAAACACAAACTCACACAAACACAAACTCAGACAAACACAAACCCACACAAACACAAACCCACACAAACACAAACTCACACACACACAAACTCACACACACACAACTCACACAAACACAAACCCACACAAACACAACTCTCACACACACAAAACTCTCACACACACAAACTCACACACACACACAAACTCACAAACACACAAACTCACGCACAAACACACACAAACACAAACTCACACAAACACAAACTCACACAAACCCAAACCCACACAAACACAAACCCACACAAACACAAACTCACACAAACCCACACAAACACAAACCCACTCAAACACAAACCCACACAAACACAAACCCACACAAACACAAACTCACACAAACCCAAACAAACACAAACTCACACAAACACAAACCCACACAAACACAAACTCACACAAACACAAACTCTCACACACACACACACACAAACTCACACACACACAAACACAAACCCACACAAAATCACACACTCA